TCGATTTTGATCAAAAAATACTTTAGATACATATTTTGACCAAAAAGATAACTTTAGATACTTATTTTAATAAAAATATTTTAGGTTCTTAAATAAAAAAGATGATAAACTTTAGATACTTGTTTGTTATACGAGCCTGAAAGTGGTTTTAGGGTTTACATCTAGGGTTTGGGTTTATATTAATATTATATACAAATATATTAATAATGATATATTAATATATTAAAAACATAAACAGGCATTCCAATCATACATTACTGTTTTCTCATCCATAATTCTTTTCACTCTGATGTTGCTGAAGTTGAGTAATTTCTATTTTATTTGGTACATGTTCACTTTGATGTTACTGGGGGAGTCTTTGACTTCATTCTTTCTATCTTTATCCTTCCAATTACAGAGTGCTTCAGATATGGTTTTAGCTTATGATACCTTCACGTAGAGAATGTAAAAATTGTTAGTATCTTCAATTTGCTGAAGGAATGGTTATATACAAAAGTACCAAGCAATTCATCAACTTAGCATTATTTGATTCAATGTTTTAAAAAAATCCATTATTATAACCTGTAATAATGTGCATCATAGCTGTTAATCTGAACGTTCATTTTGAAGGTGAAAGGTTGATTCAACTTTAGATTATCTGTTCATTAACCCGTGGGTCCTGTATATATAAACTGACAGTAAACATACATGCATTCTACCCTTATGCTTCCATCGGTAGAAAGGACGGAGAAAGGTCTAAGATCTTTGATAAAAGGTGTCATGGAGCTGGCAAAAAACCCATCTTGTTTATGCGTTGATAAGGTATATCTTATGGTTGTTTCTGTATCTTGCATTTTTCAATGTTTCCTACCAATCCAACCATAGGGTTCATGTTTTCTAAATCTGTTTTCTCAAAGTTTTGAGTGTTTGTACAAGTTTCTGCTAATGAAGGGCATTTATCAATGCTTCCTACCAATCCAAACATTGTGTGAATTGTAACGTGAATCGCTTGTGAGGTAACTTGGCACATCCCAAAGAACTCACCTAAATGCTGATATATTTTACAGGGTAAAGGTTGCTTAAGGTTTTGATTTTAATTGACAATGGTAGACTGGTAATAACATTTGGTGATCCTTTCCAGTATACATTAAGCAAGTGGGTACTTTTCCTGTTTCGCTTTCTTTCTTTTGCACTTGTAGTAGCAAGGATAGCTGTTTTTTAAAAGCAAGTTTAGGGTCACATTTGTGAATCTTAATTTATTTAGGGAATAAACTTTAATTTTTCTAATTTCATTTTAAACAAAAACCCTTCTTATCCTTTACCTGTTGTCGCTTACTAAAATTGAATAGAATTGGTTTAAATTCATTTGTTTAATTGTTTCCGGTTGCCAATTGAGAATTAAATGGTTTTGAATTCCATTTACCTTAATATTAAGAAGGAAAGTAGAAACTGACAAAGCAATTATAATTGAAATAAATGGAAGTTTTTTTTTGAAAGAAAATAAATGGAAGTTAAATACTGATTGTTGCCACCGTTTTAAATTCTATTGAATTTAATTAATCTTCTTTATTAATATTATTAAGGTGAGAACTTAAAGTTTCTTTAAAGGATTTATTAGTTTTTTGACAAAAATTTTCTATAATATGTTAATATAATTATATATAATTATATAAATTAATTTAATTTTATCAAATAATAAATTATACATATTAAGATATTTTTTTGCCTTTATTTTTTTGTAACTTTTTCTAATTTTAATAATTATTATAACGGTTAATCGACCGTTAAGGCTAAATAATACGGTTAACTGTCCATGAGCAACCCTACTCTTCATGCTCTACACACTCTCCACGACCTTAACATGTAATGTCAACCCTGAAAACACTCTAGGTGAGCTTGTTGTCAGCTACACATGGATATCAATATGAAGCTCTAGAGGAATCTCTTGCACCTGAAGGGTTCGGTTGCAACCAACTCTGGAGCATAACAATTCAATCAAAGGAAATCCCTTTTGTATTCATACATTGAGTGATCTCCCAAAACTAACTGAAAGAAGTGCATCCTTAATCCATCTATGTGTGTTTTGCCGATATACTTACCTCTAAACTCATTCAAGAACTGATCCCACATAGGTATTTTTTTATTGTAAAGTCATCTCTATAGTTTTCCACTAGTCGATATCATCACCTTTGAGCAAAGTGATGACACACTCTAACTTACCCTTTGGGGGTAAGGTGGAGCTATCTTAAGATCCTCATGGTCTCCCTCAATCATTAATTGGATGAAGTTGAATCATCATCACCTAAACCATAGAAGTTGACTATCTTGTACCTCTTTAGTATCTTTATTGGGGACTTTGTCGGCCCTAAAGTACTCAAGAAGATTGGCTAAATATGAATAGTGTTCATTATCTCTCTAAGAGTGGAAGTTAAATCTCTAAAGAAGGTTGCCTCTACAACTCCTACGTCTATCAAAATCCCATGATCCTATCCTTAGGACTATGCTTGGAACCATTGGGCATCGTAAAATCTATGAAAACACAATCAAAAATAAGAAGCACCATTGGAATTACAAACTTATAAGCGTACTGCTAGAATTTAGGGGTATATATTTACTGATACCTTACCATAACCAACAATTAGGTCTTAGAAACGACTTAATCTAAGTTTTAATACCATTAAATGTAATACCCTAAATCTGATTAGCCCAAAATCACTACATTGTGTTGTCAAGGCAATCACTAAATTTAAAATATTTTTCTATTTTTATTTAAATCATTATGTATTTTTCAAAATAGACATCAATAATTGTTATAAAATAATTTTATAATTTGAAACTCCGTGACACATAATTTAAAATAAATAATACAACTCAAAGTTTACAAATATAAATACATAAATAATGGACTATATATTTTTCTAGTAAACCTGGACTATCCATAATACATACACGAATCCAAATAATTTTTCTCTTCATGAAAGTAACTCTTATCCAATGAATACTTTAAGGGTTATATAAATTTAATGAAACAAAAAAAAAATTAAAGGCTTATAAATTTGTTAGAGAAAATCGAAAGATTGAACAGGAAATAAAAAGTAGAGAAGAGATGAAGAAGAGAAACGTATATGTAGGGTCGGATTTGGGTCGGTTTCTACCGATTCAACTCGAGCTGAAAATTTTATATCCTTCATCCAATATGACCCGAACCAAAAAATATATACTCTTTATCCGTCCCGAATTCGACTCGATTTTTTGAGAGAAAATCTCGATCCGATCCGACCCGAAATAATAAACAATATTATTTTTATTAAATAAAAAAATGATTTAATTGTAAAAATAATATATATAAGGGTATTATTATAATTATTTCTAAATATATAAAGTAAAATTATATTTTTTTAGGTCGGATCAGATATTTTTCACCCTAAATTCGAATCTGAACCGACCCGAACATTACCTTTAAAAAGAACCGACCCATACTCAAATTTTTTTAAAAAAAATCTGGACTTAATCGGATCAGGTTCGGGTCTCATACTCATCCTTATGTATATGACGGTTGGCTGTTGACAGAGTGTGACGGCGACGTGGTGTTGCGTTGATGATGCTGCTTCTACGGGGTGACTATGATGGGTTCGCTTTTCTTTGTTTCCTGTCGAAAGTTGAAAGAGAAATATTAGAATAGAGGTAGGGTAATATTTTAGATGACTTTTTAATAAATTAAATACGTTATTTTTATTAAAGTAAATTAAAATCATTATATTAATTAACTTCTCTCCCCCAAAGGCACAAGAAGCACAACGTCTACGGCAACGTAGAAAAGCCCCAGAGGTGGAAGAAAAGTGTGATTGTACATAGACCTTTGGAAGTATTTTCTCTCACACCCAACTGTACTCGATATCTTAAGTGTGCTTTTGAAAACTAAAGACTAAATCAATCGAATTAAAATTTATTAGAGTTAATTAATACCTAATCAATAAGATTAGGAATTAAATTGAAATGATCAAAATTATTGAACCAAATCATTAACTAAACTGTAAACCAAATGACTAAATTCAAACCTTACCTAAACTTGGAGAACTAAGGTTTCGAATTGTCCCTTTTCAATTTTCACCCATCTAAAACGGTGTAATTTTTAATACCCTTATCCAACCTTTTCTCCACTATTCTCCATTTCACTCTCTCTCCTTTTTTTTCTTTACTTAATAAAAAAATAAATATACAAATTACAGTTAAAATTAACATTTAATTTCTAAAAATTATTTCGTTAAAATTATTTTGAATTAAAACCAAATTCATGAATTATTTAAAAATTGAGAATGAAAATTATTATTATTATACAATACTACAATCCACATCACTATTTCATATGATCTAATATTTAACTGTCTATGATATTTTTATAATAATGATTTAATTAAATAAGTATAAATTTTAAAAATATTTGTTTCTACTAAATATATAATTAGATAAATCACGGTGTCTTTTATCCTAAATACATAAACCAAAATAGATGTCTTGACAACAAAAACAGATAATCTGATGTTAAATTGCGAGGTACTTAATCGATCATTCACTATGATTTTAATCCAAATAATAAAAGCCTTTTTTAAATTTAGGAAATAAATTAATATCTGTATTAGAAAAATAAGAGACAACAAATCATCATTATAAATTAAACTATTTAATAATAATAATTAGTTTTTGATTAATCTTTAATAATAATTCCAAATTTTATGAGGCAACATAAACCTTTTTAAGATATTAACCTTCAAAATTAAGGTTTATTACAGAAATGACCTTCTTCTTTACCAAAAATTCTATAAACAGAATATAAAAACCGTTCTTTTTTTACTTTTCCTATAAAACGGAGTGAAGTGCAGCGACGCTCCCCCCCCCCCCCCCCCACTCTCTCTAACATCTAATATAATATTATTTTTATTTATGGTAAATTAATAATATTTAAGCTTATAGCTTCTCACTCTGTTTCTCTATCTCGCTTCAGTCTTTACCTTTTTATTTTAATTTTCTGATATTTAAGTTTCCAGAAATCTTAGAGACCGTCGATCGCTGAAAAGGAAGAAGAAAAACCCTAATTATTCTTAAAATTTAACCTCAGCATTCGCGCTTTTGATGGTCCTGGTATTTGGGTAGAGAGAGCTTGGCGGTGGCATTTGGCCTAAAAAAGTGATGAAGATGTTGCGGTTGTTGTTGAGTCCGTGATGGGAGTGGCTAAGTTCGGCGTTATACAGGCGAAACTGGCGCTGTTACATCATCCAAGTGGCAGCGTCCTAAGCCACAAGCATGAGTGTTGTAGTTGTCGATCGTCTGCGGCGCAACCGAGGAAGCCGATCTCCTGGTCGCTCGTCTGTGGCTTGATGCTTTTCTGCTTAGGCATGATATCGCTCTTCACTGGACACGTGGCATCTGATCTCGAGTGGTACTCTCAGCGACTTATGAAACGAAGATCCTATTTCAGATTGGTAAGAAGTTCAAACCCAAAACAAAGGAAACTTTATTTGCATTTATGTGATTAAATTCTTTGAAGTTTTCTCAATTTTTTCCCCAACATTTTTTATGACTCTAATTTTGATGCAAATGCTGTAGGAGGGAATTAATAAAGGGCCGATTGATGTATGGAAATCTGATTTTGCAAACTACTTTTATGGATGCAGCCAAAGAAGTCGTAATTTTCCTGGTACTATTTATTATCTTCAAATTCATTTGGTAATGAAACTTTTATGTACTTAATTTAAAACTGGATTATTGAAGACGTTTGAATCTTAACAGGATTTTGTTCTATGCTCTAATATATTAGTTTTATCTGCAATTCAATGCACGTTTTCTGAAAATTTGCTAAAAAAAAGTTGCTTTTGATGTTTATGTTAGTTTACTTTCTATGCGAAGTTCATATTTTTCTTATCCAAATTGTGCGTCTCTTTTAACTTTGTAGTTTTAGAATTATGGTCTTTTGATGGTGATCGGTAAATTGTTTTGGTTGTGAGGTTAGCAAAGGCGCATTACATTATGATACTCATTTTTCTATTAGTAGTTGATAGTGTTGAAATGGATGTGTCCTTAATACATCAGACGGTTAATCTTTACTACAATGTTTTACTATTTCTTTCTTGATTGCTTGTTTTGCTATATAGATTTCGACCTTTGAATTTACAATGTTTATTATGTATCAGGAGATAATTTTGTGTTACCTTTGAAAATTAAAACTAAATTACCGTTGATTTCTCCCAGTAGTGAAATCATATGGAATTAGCTCATTCTGAGTAATTTGCTGCTGATTCTTATTTAATTTTAGCATAAGTTTTCAATAAAACGGTTATAAATGCTTGATGTACTGTATCATCACTTTACCCTTTAGAAAATAACACATTCTCCTCTCTTTTTCATTTTAGTTTCACCAAACCAATCTCTTAAGTTTGTTGATTCTTCATTTGTGCCAGATGCTATACTTGAGCGATCATCAAATGGCTATTTGCTTATTGGAGCAAGTGGAGGACTGAATCAACAAAGAACAGGAGTAAGTCGAAACATAATTTATGTTATGTTTTTGGGTAAAAATATTCTGATGGAAGATATTGTAATTTCACCAATGGAAAGTGTAACTTATCTATGAGTTCCTGCAAACTGTTATTCCTGCATTTTGTTTATTGAACCAATAAGCTTTGCTTTAGTCGATTCAAACTAATTGAGTTTCGATGTGCCTCTAAGATTCAGTCATCCTAACGAACTTATTTTTTCCACTGACCATGGTGTGTGCTATTTCTTTAGAAATGATAATTTGCTTCTGGCACACAGATATCAGATGCTGTAGTTGTTGCTCGGATCCTGAATGCAACCCTAGTGGTACCCGAATTGGACCATAATTCATATTGGAAGGATGATAGGTAAGTTGAGTCTGCTTATCAGAATTTGTGCAAAATTGATATCTTCCGGACTTTCCTCTCTTTAGTTACCTTGTTAACTGTTTTTATTTCCTTATATGCAGTGACTTTGTTGACATTTTTGACGTCAACTGGTTCATTTCTTACCTTGCAAAAGATGTTTCTATTGTCAAAAGGGTTCCTGATAAATTCATGCGATCATTGGAAAAAACCTCCATATACTATGCGTGTCCCAAGGAAATCTCCTCCTGAATATTATCTAGATCAAGTTCTGCCAATACTTCAAAGAAGATCCGTAAGATCACTTTCAGATACTAGATCACTGATGCTATTTAGGTTGATTGTATAAATAATTTCTAGGATTGGACTTTCTGTTTCTAGTTCACTCCCTCAATTGTCTATAAAAATCCATAAATTCTGTGCATTTCATGAAACATGAATGTATCAAATTCCACTTTTCAAGACCTCCAGTATCTTTGGGTTAATTTCTAGGATTGAACTTTCTGTTTCTAGTTCGCTCCCTCAATTGTCTATAAAAATCCATAAATTGTGTGCATTTCATGAAACATAAATGTATCAAATTCCACTTTTCAAGATCTCCAGTATCTTAGGGTTGATAAGAGATTAAACAATAAGTTGTTCTCTCTCTCTCTCCCCTGTTTTTACTCTTCAGAGGAATGAGTATCCGTTTTCTTATCAGCATCTCTCCAACCATTATAGTAGAATATTCCTATTATACATTTTCTAGGATATTGTGGTTTTCATGTAGGAGTGCAGCAGTTAACACACTGAAATTTTTGTAGGTCCTGCAGCTGACAAAGTTTGATTACAGACTGGCCAACAACATCGATGATGAGCTACAAAAGTTGCGTTGCCGGACTAATTATCATGCTTTAAGATTTACAAAACCTATTCAAGAACTTGGGCAGAAACTTGTAACGAGAATGCGTGCGATGGCAAAACATTTTATTGCCGTCCATTTGAGGTTTGTTCTGAATTCTAGAAAGGAAGAACTTAACTTTTCAAAGTTATGTGCATATTGAAAGGAACTTTGAACACTGTAACCTGATGAGATGTGCCTCCTGAAATTGGGTTTTGTCAGTAACCCATGGAAATATCTGCAATATAATTCCTCGTACTTTGGAATTAGCACTATTGCACTTCTGTTGGGTCCCTTTACTTTTAGATGGTTATCTCTGACTTTAAACCAGACAAGCTAGTGATAGTATAGAATGCCTTTCACTTCAGTGCCAAATCCTCAATTTTGGAAATGCATTATTGCTTCAGTGATTTTATACATCCATTGTGCTGTTATGTTTGACTTTGTATCCAACAACTACTTTATGCATCAATGACTTCAGTACTTCATATCCGAGACTCCGAATGCATGTGTATTCAATTACAGCACATTGACTCGTATGCATATGCTTAGAGAAACATTCTGGTTGTTACAGATTTGAATCGGATATGCTAGCATTTTCTGGTTGTTACTTTGGTGGTGGGGACAAGGAGAGGTATGAGCTTGGAGAGATACGAAAGCGATGGGAAACATTAACAGTGAGATATCTTCTTTCTTTAGATTGTTCTTTAGAATGGTTACTGATGCCTTTTATTTTCTTTTGCATCCTTCAATCCAGTAAAGTTGCACTATCCTTGTATTTGCAGGATGTTGATGCCAATGGGGAGAGGAGGCGAGGTAGATGTCCACTTACTCCTCATGAAGTAGGATTAATGCTGAGAGCACTTGGTTTTGCAAATGACACATACATCTATGTCGCATCTGGAGAAATATATGGTGGAGAAGAGATGCTTCGATCACTAGGAGATCTCTTTCCAAATTTCTATACAAAAGAAATGCTTGCTGAAGAAGAGCTAAAACCTTTTCTTCCATTCTCTTCTCGACTGGCTGCCATCGACTACATTGTTTCTGACGAAAGTGATGTTTTCGTCACCAATAATAATGGAAATATGGCCAAGATTCTTGCAGGTCGAAGGTGAGAAATCTAGATGTTTTTTGTATCATGCCTATTTCTGCTAATCCTGTATCTTCCATATAGTGCTAACTTTTGAAATTTAATCTAGAAACTGAACTGTTGAATTCATGTAATGAAGAGGTGAAATTTGGACCAGGGTCCAGAGACGTGAACCATGAGCTATAGAAATGCTCTCGACATTTGATCGGGGGCTTTTAATGGCTAATATTTTACCTCTTTGTGTTAGCTTAGATGATTAACCTTACATGTGAGAAAATATAAAGGCTGAACTTCTATGAACTCCTTCAGTATTTATTGCATGTTTAGCGTAGCAATGTTTCTCTATGGACTTTCGTTAACTATTCTTGATTGCTTATCTGGATTCAAAGGAGGTACATGGGGCACAAGAGGACCATAAGACCAAACGCCAAGAGGCTTGGTCCTTTGATGATGGAAAGGGATCAGATGGATTGGGATACGTTTCTCCAGGCAAGGAAGAAGAGCTAGTTTTAGGAGCCAAGGAAGCTTGATTAAGGTATCTCTTGATCTACAATGATCTATCCATTCTGCTCACTTGAATGCCATCTTTTGTTATGCCGGCAGAAAAGTTGGACAGAACTCGCCGTTTGAACGAAAAAAAGGTCTGGTGGGGCTTCTCTTGTTTATGCTCGTTTTCTATGCAGCGTGAATCCATGAAAAAAGAAGGTAATCTGTACAGGGGAAGGGAAGATTTGAAGAAAATGCAACTTTTAATTTATATATTTTTGTTAGGTAAAACACTGACTGGGTATGTAGTTATATGTTATGAAGATAGTACTTTAGTGGAGCTTTTGTTCTGCTTGTTGATTATGGATCCTTCGCTGCACCATATTTCTTTCTTTGCCCATGAGCTAACTTGGGCATTTAATTTTCGTTTCTCTGCGGCTGTGTCCCATTATTTTCTATATTCCCCAGTTATCAGAACGCTTACGTAATACATAGTAATTGTCATGTCAAATCATTCTTCAGCCGATCAAATTACTTTAGTAGTTAAAAAAATTATTGTTATTCCTTAAGATTTCAGGTTTAAATATTAGATTTGAGTACTATGTATATTGGAGTATATACGTTCATTGTTAAATGGTTGAATGTCTTTAAACATAGAATACATTATATTTTTTCTAGATTTATCAAAAAAAATCAAAACACAAATGAGATTAGGGTGTTTGTTTTCCGTAATTTGTTTTTTGAGAAATATTTTTCTCAATTTTTAGTGTTTGGTTGGTTGAAAACTGATGTAATTTATTTTTCTGTTCAACATAATTTTTTTATATTATATTATATTATATTTTTATTTTAATAATATATAATAAATTATTAATAAAATTAATATTATTTATTAATTTTATAAAAAAAATAATAATATTTAAGATAAACTATGCATTTAATACCTAAATTCAATTTTATACTCTAATAATAAATTTTCACTTGGTAACGTTGTGCACTCCAAATATCAAGCCAAAGACGGAAATAGTTTCATATACAAAATAGATGGAAAGACGCGGCTAAAAGATTAAATTATACATATATTGAATTAATTATTGATATCTGATCTATTAACTGACTAATCCAGATCGGGTACTGCAGAGGCGATGACGACCCTTCCAACCCAGTTTGCTCTATTCGCAAACGTCATGATTCGAACCCCTAACCTTGCTTAAGAGATCTAGTCCCTCACTAGTGATCTTATTTTCTCTTGATTTTAAATTTAAATTGTTGTGTCTATAGAATATATATATTGATTCATTTCATGACAACTTCATGCAATTGAGATTTTCTTCCCATCTAAATACAAGAGAATACAAGATGCAAAGGAGATACATACACAAAAGTGCTCCAATGCCAACCACGAAAATAAGGTTTGAGATCCTATCTTGTATCCTTTTCAGTCAAGACATTGACTTAACATAAGTTTATTAAAAAGTTAATGAATAGTTTTATGGATTTAAAGAAATGTATGACTCCATGATAAGGACGTGTGATATGAATCCGGTTATGTTATTTGTCGAATTATATGTGTAATTTGTCCAATTGTAATTCTAGTAAGAACTTGAAAAAATATTTTTAAGTTCAACGAATAAACTTGGTGGAGTTGGAATGATGAATGGTATAGGAAGGGTTGGTAAGGTGTGATGGTGAATATGATGGTTGATTGTGAATAGGAAAATGAATAGAAGGTGATGGAAACAATGGTTATGGAAAATGATAGATTTTGATTGAGGATGGTGTGAGAACAAGGATGAACCAACAATATAAGGATTGTTAACCCGGACCTTAATGGTTACAATGATGGGTAAAGTTTGAGATCTAGTGAAGGAACTGTCCGAGACCATGGATGTGGTCGAGCCTCTGGCACCGTTTAAAGTTAAGAAGACTGACTCTTTTAAACCAAAGCCAAAATCCAAGGGTAATGGTGGGGGAGAGAAGGCCAAGGGAGGATCCAACAAGCCATCGGGAAGTAATGGGAGATCAAACGATCATGCCAATAAGGGTAACAAGTCGGGTGATATGACATGTTTCAATTGTGGAGGAAATCACATTAAGAGGAATTTTCCTCAATGTGTGAAGGTTGTTTTACATCAAGGATGATGATGGGGAAGAAGATGAGACCTTGAAGCTTGGCTCCATTTTGAGTTCCATGAGAGTCAAGAAGGGTCGTGGAAAGAAGGGATTGATGTTTGTGGATATCACCGTGGCCGGCCATAAAATGATTACATTAGTTGATACGTGTGCCTCAGAGTTGTTCATGTCCTAACAGGCTGTCAAAAGACTTGACCTTTCGGTGGAGAAGACAAGTAGGTTTATCAAGACAGTCAATTCCAAAGAGGCTCCGATTGCGGGTAGCAAAATTAGTAGAGCTCGACATTATGGGTTAGACCGGTAAAGAAAATATTAAGTAATTCCACTCAATGACTTTGACTTTGTAATTGAAATTAGTTTCCTTCATCGGATTACTACCTTCGTGGCACCATTTGTCAATTGTTTATGCATTCTTGACTAGAGGCATCAGTGCATTGTTCTTGTGAACTGAGAGGCCAGAATTGGGGCCAAGATGTTGTCTGTAATTCAACTCGCAAATGGGGTGCGCAAGGAGGAACCCACCTACTTGGCGATATTGGTGGAAGATGAGCCCACAATGACTAAGAGAGTTCCGACTGAAGTGTGACAAGTGTTGGTGGAGTTTAGGGATGTTATGCCAACAGAGTTGGAGAAGCATTTGCCACCTAAAAGGGAGATAGATCACAAGATGAGCTTGTGCCGAATGCGGAGCCGCCTGCTAAGGCACCTTACCGCATGACTCCACCTAAGTTAGAGGAGCTACGTAAACAGTTGAAAGAGCTCTCAGATACGGGGTATATTCATCCGTCTAAGACACCCTTTGGTGCACTGTTGTTGTTCCAAAAGAAACATGATGGCTCTCTTACGATGTGCATCGACTATCGGGCTTTGAACAAGCTCACTGTGAAGAACAAGTACCCGATCCTATTAATTGCAGACTTGTTCGATCAACTTGGTAGTGCAATGTGGTTCACCAAGTTAGATTTACGATTCGAATATTACCAAGTCAGGATAGCCGAGGGTGATGAACCAAAGGTAGCTTCTGTGACGTGCTACAGTTCGTACGAATTCCTTGTGATGTCCTTTGGCCTCACGAATGCCCCCGATACGTTTTGCATATTGATGAATAAGGTACTACAACCTTTTCTTAATCAATTCAATGTAATTTACCTTGATGAAATTGTGGTGTATAGTAATACCCTCAAGGAACATGTTGAGCATTTGAGGAAGATGTTCCAAGTCTTACGTGAGAATTAGCTCTATGTCAATGAGGAGAAGTGCTCATTTGCTCAGAATGAGGTCCCTTTCCTTGGTCATGTTGTCGGAGGAGGCAAGCTCTGCATGGATAAAGACAAAGTTCGGGCCATTGATGAGTGGAAGCCGCCTACCAAGGTGTCCGAGTTGAGAGCATTCTTGGGACTAGCCAACTATTACAAATGGTTCGTGAAGGGTTGTTCTAAGGTGTCCTTACATATTACCGTTGTATCAGATCTGATCTAACTGTTGTGAGCGTACAGCGTGGATGAAAGACATTAGGGTTAAGGAAAACCCTAATCCATATTAAATCTGAACTGTTGGATCAAATCTAATTTAACGACTGTGGATTTGACAACTGAAGCAAAAGGGTGAAAACCCTAGTTGCACACAGGCCTTGGAATTAGGCCACTATCGGGCTTGTAAAAATTTTATTCAATAAGAGTGATATTTTTTAGCTGTTTTTGCTTAATAATAATAATAATAATAAAATAATGTAAAATGGTGATTACACATGGAGTTAAAATTCAGGTTTAAACTTGAACATAACTCTTTTTTAACTTCAATTGAGCTAAATTTGATAATGTTTCGAACTAAATATTTTTCAAGCTCGAATTGAATTTCTATTTTTTATTTTGGGTTGAATTTGAAAATTTTAAGCACACAAACTTTCGAGTCAAATCAAAATTCAATTTTTTATTTTGAGTTCAAGTCAAACTTGACAATTTTAAACTCGTAAACTCATCAAGCTCAATTTTAAGCTTTTCGAGCGGAGTCAAACTCAACAATATTCAAATTCTACTCGACTCGTCTACAACTAGCAACACTATGCGAAATCATTATTCAAATCATGGCAAACACACTATTTAAATATTTAAATAATTTCCAACATACTACAACCTAATGGTAAGCATTGGAATTAATTTACTAAAGACTGCAAAAACTTATTGTGTTGAACCCACAAATGAAATATATAATTAAATCCAAACCAGATAGTAAATTATTAGTCTTCTAACAATAAACCTGTACTGCTACTAACCTAACACATTAGGTTCAGATAGAGTTGATCTTAAACCGCATGGATTGGGTTCCCACTTGAATCCATGCTAGACTTACTAGAAGAAGCAGGATTGGCATGAAAAGCAGACTGCCTCGACGAGCCATCAAGTTTTAATGAAAGAGACGAGCCACCGTCACCAATAGTTTCTCCCAAACTCAACTTTGACATCCCTACCAGCTCATCAACATTGATCGGGCTCTTTGAATGTACTGCCGTTGGCTTGACCACTTCGTGCATGTCCTCCTTGGTCGGTTCTGTGTTATACCCCGTCCAATATGGAAATGAATATGGAAAAAATGGTGGGAAGTAAGCCGGATATACTACTGGGTACAACGGTTGCGAGCTCTCCAACTTTGGAGGAACACTTTCCGCGTCATTCAAGTTGTTGGAATCCATTGATTTATCTTCTTCATCCAATGCAGGAATTGGCAACTGCTCATTGCTCTGTGCTTCGGCCTCTGTATGATTTGCAGTTAACATATCCTGTGGTGATACCATTGGAGTGCCACCTGACTGCAAGAAAATAAACAAGAAAAAGGTCTCTTAGACAAATAGAGACGCAGGCAATTTGGATGGATAGATGATGCATGCTAGAACTAAATGCCGGTAGTATGTAGACTATTTCCTTTGCTCAAAGAACTAAACTAAAATAACTTAAACATGCGCAGCCCCGAAAAATTGTACATAGGAAAAACTGCAGCTTCCCCTTTTGATTCTACAAAGCGAACTATTTCCTCAGAAACTAATATATTTTAGACAAAGTGATCTAATTATAAAATTTCGACAAATAAGAAGCAAAATCTTCACAGGCAAATAAAAGAAATATAAATGGTATGCCAACCCTACTTGTACTAACTACACAGCTAATTCCTTAAGGTTAAATGTAATTAGAAAGTTCAATGTGTCAGCAAAGAACCATCGAGGTCAAATTTGTTAGTCATACAAGTAAGATATGCCAAGTGATGCATGATTATAGAGAGAAGGGTACTAACATCATGTGCCACAATATCAAAAAGGCTAGAACGTCTTTTTCTCCTAGAAACATTGGACTGCCTGATGAAATACTTTTGAGCATGGCTAGCTACTTGAGTTGGAGTCCTTGATATAACATAATTGCGCGAGATTCCACGCCAGTCACCTTTCCCAAGGTTCTGCAGACCTAGAAGAAACATCCTATGCTCCTCTTCTGTCCAAGGAATACCTGCAATACAAAAATAACTAGGTTTCAAGAATTCTGGCATGTACACTCCTGTTTTATCCGTAGTTAGAAACTTGTTCCGTGCCTTCGGGACGTCTTGTTTCCAATTCCAATGCTTAAACTTTTAAAGGATTATACAAAACTAGAATAATGTAGATAAACACAAGGCACATGAAGAAACCCACTCTATTACCTCCAAAACTCAGTGATATCACATCTGATATGTATTCTTTTGGACAAACTTCCCAATTTATTTCATGTTACAGCACAAATAATAATAATTAATTAATTAAAATCCTTTGAGAACCCTCTTTGTCTTATTTCAATATCCACCATGTTCATATGTCTTTAGATATTCTACTGCAGAATTAATGAAATTATCAGACAGTAACCAAAAGAAAATTAACTATTAATTATAAGCTAAAATTCCAAACAAACTAACCAGAAAAAAATACAACTTTATTTTAAATCCTTAAACTATTTAATAATACAAACATAAAGTTAAAATTAATAAACATATGAAAATTGGTCAAGAAACCCAGGATGATCACTGTGCCCAAAATAAAATCAAGTCAAAAATTTTAAGCCAAAGCAAACACATAAGTGTTCGAAAGGTTTTCTTTTATCGCTTATAGTCGTACACTAATCATCCGCCGAATAAATACTTAAACAATAAGGCAAATAAAATTAAGAAAAATAAAATTAGTCCTTCAAAAAATACGAAACCTTTTTTCCTTTCACGACTGGAAGATGACCCGGGGACGAAATCCTCAGAAGCATAACCGTCGGTGTGATCCGGCGCCTCACCGGGCGAACCCGACCCATTCCCGTTATGCGCGCCAGAATTCGACCCAGAATATTGGCTTAAGTTGCCCATACTGGCGCTCTTCCGAATTAACCCATCAGTCAATCGGACTCCGAAAAGTTTGACCCCTCGGTTCGGGCAGGTCCGAGAGTTGTGGCCGTTGTGGCTACAATGCGAGCAGCGACGCGTCATTTTTCACGGCCGGGAAGCGCGTTTCGGATCAGATCAGATCAGAGAGGAAAGTGAAGGGACGAATGCCAATCGGATCTTTGAGCATCCGGATCCGGACCACATGTGGATTAGGGCTTTGCTTTTGAACCCAAGAAAAACGTACTTTTTTTCTTCTTCTTATTTGGCTCTCCCTCTGGCTTTGTTAGCAGATGGGAGAGAGAAAGAGGGATAAACAATATCCATATACCGTGTATTTATTTAATTCCAAAAGGTAATTTAATGATCCACTGCTTCTCGGAGTTTACTGTGGGGATTAACATGTTTAATTTTCAGCCGTTGATCTCGTCAAAATTGGTGTGCCACACAAATCATTCCTTTTCCGCGGGGTGTTGACTCTTATTTGACTCAGTCCATTTTTTTTTCTTCTTTTCCGCGGCTGTAATCACCCATCTTTAATAATTCATATTATTATATTCACCTAAATTGCATACAAAAATAATAATAATAATAGTTAATGTTAATAAAAATAATTATTTTTAAAATATATATAACCAAATTAAAATTATATATAATTATATTAAATCAAAATTTAAATATTAAATTACATATCGAACCAAGATTTATGTATAATTTTAATATTATAACTTATTTTTATTATAATTTTGCAACAAAACAACCGAAAGTGGTTACGAAGTTTTGGTTAAATTGGCAGATGTTGAATTTTATTCATATACTCTATTATAATTTTGAAAATTTTAACGAGTTTCGTTAAAAATTTATTTTACCAACACAAAATTAAACTGTCATAAGGGGAAAAGAGTACCCAATATTCTATTAATCATTCAGGAAACAAATTGTTCTTTACATCTTGCATAATAAATTCAAGACAATCCAATCAAAAAAACAAAAAAAAAACATTGGAATAGAGAGATTTCGTAACAAGAGAGTGGATCACACCATTCACAGAACGATTTACGTAAGCAACTTAACAATGGAGAAAAATATTACGACTAGATCGAACTGGATTCGTCTTTTAATTAGTCAGGACCTTTTTTTTTCTAATTTAGAATAGAGAAAATCGCCTCAGTGACCAAAAAAAAGTTATAATATACGATTTTAACCAACTTTTTTTGGATTTGCCAAAATGACCAACAAAATCGCAACGCGAAATAAAAATCGCAACGCGATCCCCAGAATCGCAAATCAGTTTCCAGAATCGCAAATCAGTTTCCAAAATCGCAACGCGATTCTTGAAAATCGCGATGCGATAGTACAAATTCGCATTGCGATTTTCCAAAATCGCAACGCGAATATGAAAATCGCAACGCGAACACATAAATCGCAACGCGTATCCGTAAATCGCAACGTGTATCCGTAAATCGCAACGCGTATGGGTAAATCGCAATGCGTATCCGTATATCGCAACGCGTATCCGTAAATCGCAACGATAATACATAAAATCGCAACGCGTATCCGTAAATCGCAACGCGATATTTAAAGCGCCATTATAATCGCTACGCGTATTTTATTTTCAAATTACAAAAAGAATATTAAGACAAAATCCCGTAATCGCAACTCATAACCTAAAACCTAAAATCACAACTCAGTCCCATCTCCATCTCTCACTCTCTACGGCGAAGAAATCCGTCCCCATCTCCGAAGATTTCCGTCCCCATCTCCGGCGAAATCCCTCACAACCATTCACGGTCAGAAATCCTCACAATATTCAGAAATGGAAAATCAACCTCCGAGAGTTAGTTTTTTTAATTTTTTTATTTTGAAATGTTTGCATTATTGTAGGTTTCTCATATTGAAACTGATGATAAGTTTACTGGTCATTTCAATAATAGATTAACCATTTCACTTAGATTTCATTTCGCGTTACGATTCTGTCGTTGCGATTTCATTTCGCGTTGCTATTCTCTCGTTGCGATTTTCAAGTTAGTATTTGTCTTTGTCTTTGTTCTGTCTTTTGGTTGAAGTAATGCAATCCATTCAAGTTTCAATTTGCAGAAGAGTCGCAACGAGATAAATGAAAATCGCAACGAGAGAATGACTGTCGCAACGAGAGAATCGCAACGCGAAATGGAAATCGCAACGAGAGAATCGCAACGCGAAACCAAAATCGCATTGCGATTTTCATTTCGCGTTGCGATTCTCTCGTTGCGATTTTCATTTCGCGTTGCGATTCTCTCGTTGCGATTGTCATCTCGCGTTGCGATTTTCATTTCAACCAAAAGACAAAACAGTGTTGCAAATTTTAGTTTCAAGAATAAACTACTACTTTTTATGTTTATTGTTTTGGTATATCTTCACAGTGTAGTTTTTGGTATATCTAACTTGGTATGTTTATTGTTTTTGTAGAAATTTTTTTCGGCTCAATTGACCTTGAGAAATAAAGTCAGCCTGGCCACTACAATTGCAAAGAAGCTTTCACCTGCTCAAAGACAATTGTTGAGGAAACCTGCTTCGGGCCATGGCTGAGAGTACAGCATCCGGGGAGATGCTAATTTGACCCATTTGTGGCTTCAGACCATGACATCAAATCTACCCGACAGTATACAACGTGGTGAGGAAGAGATATGGTTTCATTTTCCACCAGCGTATACTTGCTTTGGGCGGAAGGAGTTCTGCTTAATCACTGGTCTACGATTCGGACACGATGATGTAGGCCGGTACACTCGTCATATCGCCCGCCATCATGGTTATCCCGGGTTTTTCCGGATGAGTCAATGGAGAAGCCGAACCTACATGTCGACGACCTGAAGAAATTATTTAATAAGAAAGCTGGTTTCACTCGGATGGAAGACGTCGATGTTGTCCGAGTATGCCTTCTACTACTTGTGTATGCCGGCTTTTTAGGCAGAGAGGCCAGACAACCTATTCATCGGGAGCTAATAATATTGGTAGAGGACCTGAATGCATGGAATCTGTTTCCGTGGGGTTCGTATATATGGAAAGCTACCTGGACTAAGTTGTCGTCTGCCTTTGATGACCGCAAAAGTTTGCGGGGCGATGGGTCCAAATACACTTTGTCAGGCTTTGTTTGGGCCTTTAAGGTAAGAATTTCTATATAATGTTTCTAAAATTATAATTAATTATTTAACAATTACTAATTTTGTTATTATATGTTTGTAGATTTGGATATTCGAGGCTTTCCCCAGCATGCGTACATATGCAATAAAAACGTCAAATGATATTCCCAGGGCTATTCCTGAAGAGGAAAACTCTGTTGGATTGGGAAGACTTAATACCATATGCCACAATAAATAATGTAAGTTAACACAAATACTTTCATATAATATAAACAAGTTATTAATAGTAGACGTTTAACTTTGTTGAGTTTTTATATTTTAGGAGGCCAACATTCCATTACAAAGACTGTCACCCACGGAGGAAGAGCTTGCCACTGATTGGTGGCAAGCTAGTCAGAGTTTTTTTGATGGCACGGATGATGAGCAGCATCCACTTCCTCCAATTCGAGAGCCATCACCTCACCTAGAGCCATCACCCGATCGTGACGACTATACACCTCTAGAACGAGAGCCATCACCTATCCCGTCACATCATCGAGCCTCTTCTCCACCATCACCTCATGATAGGCGACCGGCAAAGATGCCACGACTCCTATCTCCCTGTTCTCCACCTCCACCTCAACGGGATGAGTCAAGGGAGTTACGTGATGAGGTCAATGCCTTGCGTGAGGAGATCGGTACTCTACGCGATAACGATGGTGCATGGCGTGTGGAGGTGTCAACTTTACGTGGTGAGGTTGCCGCTCTACGTGAGATGATAGTATCGTTGCAGAATGAGGTTCATACTCTACGCAACGAGGTAAGTTTAAGATTTTCCATATTTAACTTAATGATAAATTTACTCGTAATTTCACTTAGATTAGCCATTTCACTAGATTGCTTAGTAAATTTATTCGGTTGCTGCCAATTCTGCTAAACTGTGTATTCTTTAACACTGTGAAATAGTATTTGTCTTTGTTTTGTCTTTTGGTTGAAAGTAAATTTGTTCGGTTGCTGCCAATTCTGCTAAACTGTGTATTCTTTAACACTGTGAAATATATTTGTCTTTGTTTTGTCTTTTGGTTGAAAGTAAATTTGTTCGGTTGCTGCCAATTCTGCTAAACTGTGTATTCTTTAACACTGTGAAATAGTATTTGTCTTTGTTTTGTCTTTTGGTTGAAAGTAAATTTGTTCGGTTGCTGCCAATTCTGCTAAACTGTGTATTCTTTAACACTGTGAAATAGTATTTGTCTTTGTTTTGTCTTTTGGTTGAAAGTAAATTTATCCATTCAAGTTTCAATTTGCAGAAGAATTTATAGTTTACTTTCGCAACACGAAACTTAAAATCGCAACGCGAAACCAAAATCGCAACGCGAAATGAAAATCGCAACGACAGAATCGCAACGCGAAACCAAAATCGCAACGACAAGATCGCAACGCGAAACCAAAATCGCATTGCGATTTTCATTTCGCGTTGCGATTCTTTCGTTGCGATTTTCATTTCGCGTTGCGATTCTGTCGTTGCGATTTTCATTTCGCGTTGCGATTTTGTTTCGCGTTGCGATTTTAAGTTTCGTGTTGCGAAAGTAAACTATTTCTTCTTCTGCAAATTGAAACTTGAATGGATTGCATTACTTCAACCAATAGACAAATCAAAGACAAATACTAACTTCAGGGTATTAGTTTGAAACATATTTTTCTTTGTTATCTGATGCATTTTGTGAACTATGATAGAATAATGACTTGGGTGAATACAATGCAAGTTTGAAACATATTTGTCTTTGTTTTCACTGTTTAAATATCATGTCTGTTTATTTACTGATTTTTGTATTTAATTATTTAGCGGCCCGATAGAGTGGATGCTTTACGTCGGGTTATGCTTGCACGACGGAGTTCACGCATCAGACAGCGTGCACGTGCTATTAAGTCTCCGTACACCCCAATAGTGCGAAGACACCGCAAGAAGAAGCCCGACTCGCCTGTCATCCCTCAAGAGTCCACTCCTATCGTTGAAGAGGCCCCCCATATCATTCCTCGAGAGTCCCCTCCCACCGTTCAAGAGGCAACTGTCATCGTTGAAGAGGTCCCTCCCACCATTCCAGAGCCCGATTCACATGGGGTAATATATCGAAGTATTGAGAAACCCCCACGGTTCCGGACATGATGGATGAGAGTTGGCTCTCGTATGAGTTACCGGCCAGTACCATACCGGTATCTGAAG